GCCTCGGGAGATGCCAAGATGATAACACCGCTGCTGCGGCTGCTGAGGAGGATGACTAACACTTCAGGCTTTTCTAAAAGGGAAGGTGTGAATATACTGATGCTCAGATGCAGGGTGTTTTGGCCATCTTATATTATCTATTTTGCTGGGTTGGAGTGTTTGTGATTTTGCTAACAGTGCTAATAAAAATATTACTAACTTGTCTCGTTGGTGCACACCGGGGTTCTTGTAATAACTATATTTCTGGGTCTGATCATGAGAATCCTGTCAAACCACAGAATGCGAACTTGGAATTACTATATAATCAACAGATCAGGCAACAGAGAGTCATATTTGGGGGGTGGGATGGCCAGCATTGGAGCCAAACAGAGGAGACAGATATCAAGGACCCATGGAGGAAAGGAGTTGTTGCACAGGTTGCTGAATTGGTCCTCATCCAGGAGGGAGACCTGGGTACTGTGGTGAAGGATGCTCTGGAAATGCCAGCCAGTTCCTCCCCCTGTTTCTAAAGTCCATTATTTGATTTGATTTTAAAAGAGCTAGTTTTAAAGTTTACTGATTTGGTACGACCAGAAAATATTTACTTTCTAGAGCTCCTCATAAATCCTTCAACCTTTTGTCTGATCTCAAGTTCCACTGAAAGTAGTTTGGCTACATTCCAAAAATATATGTAAAGAGGGGTGGAGGAGAGGAAAACTTTGGGGATGGGACACATGCCTTGTCAAGTTAGGTTAAAAGAACAGATACAAATCAGAGTTGAATAAACTTTCCTTCCCTCTGGCGCTAACAGCTCCCACTTGTGTTCCCTGTAAGCTGCGTGGTTGGGTGGCTGCCCAGGAGAGATTCAAGTGCTGTGCAGTTGATTAGCAGAGCCACACACATCCAGCCCGCAGTGTGTGTTCAGGTGCCCCTCCCACAGGCTGCTTTGCAGCCACCTTGCTTCTGCAGCTGCTCCCGGGACCCTCCTGCTAGCTGTGCGGGAGAGGGGAGGAGGAAGGAGGGTGCTGATGTCATGGTGTTCCCCTCCCCCAGCTTCTGTACCCTATCTCCACAGAGCAAGGTAGAGAGGAGGGGAAAAGGCTTAGGACTCACAGCAGCTCTGAGGTTTGAACAAGCCTTCGGGTGAGTGAGTGCCTTAAAGAGACAGCGCACAGTCTCTCAGAGACTTCCCCAGCAGCCCACACACACACACACACACACACACCCCATCTCTCCCCCTCCTCCCTGCCCATGTGCCCCATCTCCGCAGAGCAGAGGAGGGGGACATGGATCAGGAGGAGGAGAGCTTTCAGGGAGTGCCTTAAATATACAGTGGACGGACGTCTCTCAGAAACTTCCCCAGCAGCCCCCCCCCCCAACACACACACACACACTCTCTCTCTCTCTCTCTCTGTGTCACACAACCTCCCAACACTGTTGTTGTTGTTCTTGGTACTTCCTGCAATGTACATATATTCTCTGTAATTTTATTCTTTCAAAGTGTTGTTATTTGAGTTTTTTGACTGGTCTATGCATTTCATAATTTTTATTTCTCTCTTACACTTAAATTTAATTCTTTGAGTAGTGAGTTCTAAAATGCCTAACTTGTCCTGGCTGGAGTAATTATCCCTATTGATAACTTTTTAAAAATATATATTATATCTAGGTTTTTTGCTTCCACTGGTGGCGCACATCTGCACATTACTTTGGTTCACATAACAAAATTAATTCCGCACATGGGTGGAAAAAATTAGAGGGAACATTGGCTCCCACCCTTGAGTGTTTCCTGAAATTTAGTGAAATTTCCTTTGCTCAGTGTCATCCCATTGCTCCTATTCATACTCTCCTGGAAAGCCTCATCCCCAAGGTTTTCCTCTCCTCCACCCCTCTTTACATATTCTTTGACAGTTGTCACTTTTGACATGGTCATTTAAGCAACCTACTATGACTGACATTAAAAACACAGCATTTGCTGACAGTGCTCACAATGGGACATTGGCGATTATTTATTATTTTTATTCCAATAGCTCATATCTAGCACTAGGCACTGTCCAAATACATACAGATCTGAGCTGTTGCAGTATTCCCATATATTTAGAATAGGAGAAGACAGTGTGATCCACTGATTGGCATGTATTATGATTCTCCTTCTATGTCTGACCAGCAGAAAAGAGTCATCTTCTACTGCTCCAAGCTAACGGATTTAGTCCTGTAGCTCAAGAGGGAGCGCTCCACGCTGCAGTGCTGAAGGTCCTGGGTTCCAACACAGCTTATTGGCCCATGATAAGAGTTCTTACATCCCCACAATCTCCTACTACAGGAAGTGCTGTCCACTGTATGCATATTGAGCTCTTTTAATCGTTGCTCATAAATCAGGCCCATCAGCCTCCTGATCATTTGTGCTGCTCTTTGAGAACCCTGTTTATTTCTGTTTCTCAGGTGCATGGGGCTTTAAGAAGCTATTCTAGGTGGGGTCACATTAAGGCCACCTAGAGAAGGACTACTCCCTCCCTGCACCATGACATGATGCGGCTGCATATTCAACTCAGTATTACTGTTTTTTTTCCCCTCCCTACCACATCCCATTGCAAACTCCTGTCTAATTTGCTGGCCATTCTCACCCTTAATCTCTTTAGCCTTTGTTGTTTGTCAGATTTCTCCCTGCAATATCACTTTTTTTGGTGGGTTTTCCCTCCCAAATCTGTATTGATCCAGGTTGAACCTCATTTCATTACTTTCTGCCCCTGCTCCCACCCATGACAGTTCTGCAAATGAATTCTACAGCAGCAAGATTGGGCCCTAGGTCCGTTTGGATCATTTCTTTGAATCTCTCCGGAGTTCAGGTTCATTATCTGCTTCGAGTCCATTTTAGCTGCAGGTTTCCAGGCATCATGCTGTTGTCTGTGGGTTCCTGCCCACCAAGGTAATATTTCAATATTCCATCTCCCACTCCCACCCTCTTACCAAAATCCCAATTTTCAATTCAATGTTTTGTTTTTAAAATGTGGTGAACATATTTCTACGCATGGACTAACTTCATCCGTGGTGTAAACCCACGGCCTTCTACAGGTTCCAGCAAGGAGGCCTTCAGCAGATTAGGCTTCTCAAAACCCTTTTTGTTTTTAACTACCTTGACTCAGTTGCCTATAACTAATGGACTCAAGCAACTACCTCTGACCTCATTATGATCCACCCTTACCAACGCCTTTCTTTTTCCCCATTTTTCTTCCCTTATCTCTATCTAATTCTTTCTTCTCTGTCTCTTTTAATACCCTTTTCTCTCTCTCTTTAGCATTCCTATTTGCTTCCTCTGTCTCTTTAAAATTAAAGATCACCCCGACACTGCCCATGTGAGTGAAGTGAATGCTAAGAGGAAAGGCTGCTGCTGAGAGGGGGATTCTAGCTGCCTCGCTGGGAATCAATGAGGCATGGAAAGCTCATCTAACTCCTGAAATGCTGAAAGAAACCAGGGCGGATCAGTGGCAGCTGAAAATGCATTTAAGAGAGAAGAAAAGGCCCCGTCATCGAGCGCCCCATTCAGCTACAGAGAGAAGCAGCGTGTGCCGAGCCAGAGGCGGCTGCTTTTGTGTTTTAATACTGTCTAATCCCAGACCAGCTTCCCTCTCCACCCACCACAGGGGAAGGCTGGCTGAACCTCTACTCTAGGGAGAAGCTGGAGGATGGGTACTGCAGGGAGTGGTTACACTGGCCTGTTTCTCTCCCTCCATCTATTTGCTGTGCTATGAATCCAGCTGGTACTAACCATGCAATGAAGCTGGGGGGGGGGTGGGGGGGGTGTTGGTCTCACACACAGGCAATATGAAGGCTGGTCATAAGCTGACATTAACTCTGCAATTGAACTATGAGGAAATGCTCACTGTCATTCATGAATATCCAACCCCTCATGTCATTGATGAATAGCCACCCCTACAACTTACACAGAGCCAGACCCATCCCAACCCCTACATATCCACCCAGAACACCCCCCTACAAACTCCCAGGTACACACACCTAGCCATACTACCCACACCGCCAGGCACTCTCTCCCCAATACATTCCCAGACACGTAGCCATAACATAAAGTACCTGACATGCACCCCTTGCTCCCACACTACCCAACCCTCCCCCAGCAACCCTGACCCATTTACCCCCACCAACATTCCCTACCATTACCAGGCATAAAGCTGCCCCTCCTCCACACATACCACTCCCGTCCCCACTGCTCCGCTTCATACCCACTCTCCCTACGGCCTACTCCCTACATCCGAGGCGCTCCTCAGCCTGGGGGTAGAGCTGTCACCATGAGGGATGAGTTGAAAAGCCGCAGGATATCACACTTACTTCACTCCCAGGCCCCAAGGGTTAATGGCGCAGCCTCCTTTGCTACTCTGTTGCCTTAGTGTCAGCAGCAAAAGCGATTTATGCTGTTATTAAAGGGACTTATTTATTTTTTTTCATCTGGGGTTAATTAGGGGCTTGTGAAAGTAAAGGGCTGTCAGTGCCAGCTACACATAGTAGAGAACAGCCAGAGGCAGTGCTATCTGCCCACACATAGATCTGCCAATGCACCTCGCTCCTCAACTGCAACACCCCCGCATTCCAATCCTGGGGAACCCCATAGCTCTGCTCATGGCCCTCAATCCTGACCTCTAGCACCCCTGCTATTCCCCTCCCAGGCCCTTGCGCATACAGTTCTGCTGATGTCCCTCATTCCTGCCCAGCAACCCTCTCCCCCTCCCCTGTAATTCTCACAAGACTTTGCCAGCCATGCCCAGCAATGTGTGGGAAATACCACACTTGCCCCAGAGCTAGGATAAGATGACTCCCACAGCTGTCTCTCTTGTAATCTAAGTCTTCCAAAGCACAAGGCCAGTGTCCTGAACTCCCTTGTCATGTTTCCATCTATGTAGGAAAATCACCAAGCAGCTCATTGCTCCTGTTTCCCTCTGGCTAGCTGCCCAGAGCTGCCATGCTGCAGCTGGTTTGCCTGGCAGGCCAGTGAGGGCTGCAGTGTCTCCTACCTCTTTGCCCAGGTCCTCACGGATCACTTGTTCAATCTCCTGCATGCTGCTCTGAGGGGCCTGGCTGTGTAGTACCTTCAGGGTGCGAGTGTATTCCTCAGGCAGAAGGTAGTCGAGTGCCCCCAGATGCTGTCCCACTTTGATGAAGGTGCCTCTGTTGGCACAACACAGGTCCCGGAGGCGTTCCGCAGAGCGCAGATGCACCTGCAGAGAGATCAAAACATCAGCCAAGCCCCTTTCTCCAACTCTTTGCTCCTTATTCCTCCCTCCACCTTTCCTCCCCCCCCCTCGCCCCCCCACGCATGCACACACACTTTTACTCCCTTAGGTTTCAAATGCAGCTGCTTTTTTTTTTCTTTTCTTCCTTGGAGGTGCACCTGCATCACCTATTGTCAGCTAAACTCCGGGAATGTGTTTTGTTGATGAACAGGAACTGACACAGAGCCACAGGAGGCGTGCCACAGCATAAAGCAAAAGTCAGGACCATTGCTCCCGTTTAAAACACACATGCAGTGGAGTAAAGTGGGGGAGGGAGGAGAGGGAAGACAGATGCCATCCTGAGGGTGTCAGCACAGAAACTTCCTCGGGGGAAGACATTCTATTTAAAGACACAGCAAAACAAAAACAAAAAGTATTTTCTGTCAATTTAGCAGGGGTAAATGGTGCTGATGGGCAGCTCCTCGGCAACAGGATCCTATTTACCAACAGAATAGCTACAACCTGTGCAGTGGCAGAGCCAGCTTAGCACTCAGTGCTGTTCCACCAACCTACTCTGCCCTCCCCCATGCGCTGGGATAGGACGCTCTCCAGGGCCCATTCGGCCCTTGCCTCTCTGCTCGGACAGCCACCAGGGGCCTATTCATGCCAACTGAAGTGTGGTTTCAGTGAAGTGAACACTAGGAATTAGGAGACCTCAAATTCATTTCACATTGGCCAACAAGCAGCCATCAAACTACAACTGTAGACGCTACAACACCACCACAAACAAGTGTAAACGTCTACTGGCCAGGTCTGGATTTCAACCGGTGACCCTGAATCTGTATCACAAAAGTGTACCCGTTACCTGACCCTTTAATAGCAATGATTTATTCTGCCTTACACTATTACTAGGAACGCTCCCTGTCTGGGGCACAGGCACACTCAACATTCAGGAAAGTAATAAACTGTGATTGACTTTATCCTGCTACATTATTAGAATTCCAGCAAATTTACAAGTAAAAAGACTCATGCAGATAGCAGAAAAGTATAGAAATGGATGGAAGTGGCTAATACCTCACGGCATCAGGTATCAGCAGTCAGTCAAATCCCAAACAGAAAAGCAATTCTGGAGTGAGCTCCCTTTTTCAGTGACATTGCCACAAACATCAGCTCCTAACAGTTCACACCCAGTCACTCAGAATACCCGGAGAAATGACCAGCAAAAAACTAGCATTGGTGTAACTTTCAAAAGTTAAAAACAAAAAACAAAAACAAGCACTAAAAAAGGTAGGAAATACAGAGCTCAGGTTGCAAGCTCAGCCTTTACTCTGCTCACTACCCCCTGCTTATGTTTTAACATATAGGCTATGTCTGCACTGCATCGGGGAAGTGTAATTCCCAGCTCGGGTAGACTTACATATGCTGGCTGTGATCGGGCTCGTGTGCTAAAAATAGCAGTGTGGCCACAGTGGCAGAGGTAGTAGCTTAGACTTGTACCTAGGATCTCAGACAGGATTGCACTCAGGCAGCTAGCCCAAGCCACTGTCATTACCACCAGAGCCACACTGCTATTGTTAGCCCACTAGCTAAAATCAGAGCTGATCTGTATATATCTACTCGAGCTGGGAATTACACCTCCCAGCTGCAGTGTAGACATACCCTTTATATTAAAACATAAGCAATGTGGTATTGGGCAGAGTTAAGGCTGAGCTTTCAACCTAAACTCTGCATGTCCTAACTTTTAAGTGCTTGGGTTGAATACTCTTCTTATAGCATTATGAATTATTGATCAATGAATACAACAATGTGGGATTTTACATCCAGTCTCACATCCAGTAAATTGCAATACAGGACATTCAGTCCTCAGACTTGGTTCTCAGTCTTCAACAGTTTTCAAGTACATAAAAGGTTGTTACAAAGAAGAGGGAGAAAAATTGTTCTCTTTAACCTCTGAGGACAGGACAAGAAGCAATGGCCTTAAATTGCAGCAAGGGTGGTTTAGGTTGGACATTAGGGAAAAATTCCTAATTATCAGGGTGGTTAAGCACTGGAATAAATTGCCTAGGGAGGTTATGGAATCTCTGTCATTGGAAATTTTTAAGAGCAAGTTAGACAAATACCTATTAGGGATGGTCTAGATAATCCTTAGTCCTGCCATGAGTGCAGGGGACTGGACTAGAAGACCTGTTGAGGTCCCTTCCAGTCCTACGATTCTATGATTCAAGGTGCTCCATGGCCCAGGCCCAGCATATGTAAAAGATCACATAAAGAGTGAAGACCATTGCTCAACAACTCCACTTCTCTGGCACAGTGGAACTCTTGACTATAAAGCTTGTCTGTGCTGGAGATGGAGTTTTCTCAGGGGCTGCTCAGAGGCTGTGGAACTACAGACCATCACAAGCCTCACCACCTTCTGCTTCAAGTGCAAGACATATTTCTTTGACCAGCCTTCTTCCGTTTAAACATAGAGCAGTGTCTACATTAAAAAAAAAAACCCTCAGACTCAAACCCAAACCCTACATTGCACACACAATTCTCTTGTGAGGCTGAGAGAGAATGAACCATACATGACAGAGGTTAGTCGTGTTGCTTAATGTGCTACTGGAAAGCGCTCCGAAGCTATGGTAATTATTGCGGTATAAGAACCTGTGTAGAACAGAATAGTGGAACAGGGAGACCTCCCTGTGATCCTAAGAGCCCCTCAATGTCAACTCCAAACAAGTCAAGCTTGAAAATTGGGTCCAGTGTCTCACTCAGGGAGTACAAATTTGGAGCCTAACTCCTCAGTATCCTGAAAGAGCACTAGGGTCCCTTTAGACAAAGCAGGGTACATCCTCCAGCTCCTTGCCAGCAGGTGAGGGGACTCTGACAAAAGTATGCCTGGAGGGGACTCAAGAAGTTAAACATCCTTGGGGGAGGCTGCAGTAGATGACATCAACCATTTAACACCCCAGGACAGATCAGTGCAGACAGCATTTTGGCAAAATGAATTTCCACTCTCTGAAAATAACTAGCATGCGCTCACACACAGACACCCTCAACAGGATGGACTGCTGTAAATGCTTTGTCCCTGAGCTCCAATCCCTCCACTGGTGTCCAGTCCACTTCCCGTACCAGTTCAACACCTGGTCCTGATCTTCCCAGCACTCAAGCAGCTACATCAGTGATAGCATCTCTCCTTTGGGACAATGCACCTCACCAAGGCCAGAAGAAGCATGCAGGAGAGTCAGAGACAAATCTCTCTCAATCAAGGGGATTCAGCTGTGAAACGAGCTGCTAGAGGAGGTCAAACCAATCCAGAGTCTGACCCCTTTCAGGGCACCCTACAAAACCCTCTTCTATGACAAAGCATTTCTCACTATAAACAACAATACCTTAAAAGAAGGGGAATGGAGCAAAGCAGAAAACTCAGGAGATACATGAGGGGATATTGTATGCAGACCTCATTGACCTATGAATCACATAGATACCAAGGTGTTGGGCACTCCAGAAAACCCAAAATAGATCAGACAGGTAGATGGATGTGTCAACACACACACATAAGCTTACATGTGCACACGCAGACGCACACACCTTTGCGAGTGTAACCCATACTACAAAAGTGCACACACCTGCCACAGCTCAAAAGTGCACTCAGATTTACATACACAAAATGCTGCCTTCAGGTTGTCTGGGCTGCAGTCACAGGTAAGAGTGTGCTGCATTTTATTGGACTCCTTTGATTCTTTTGTTGTGGCAACTAGGTTCTTGACCTGGCAGTTCCCCCTGCCTCTGCCTTGTGTGTATGTGTATGGGGAGAGATGGGGGAGACAGGCAGAGAAAGGGAGTGAGGAACGGAAGGAATGAAAGAGAAAGAAACAGCAAAAGAGGGAGAGAGGGAGTAATAAGGATGAAAGAGAAAGGGGCCAGGAGGGAGCCAGAGCAGCTGGGCAGTTTGTCACAGTACACGGAGTTCAGCCCATTATAGGAAAACAGCTTTTATGCAGCTTGGATAATTGTCCTCAACACACTGTCTCCAGCAGAGGAGAAAAAAATCCAGCAGCCAGTGAAGGCAGCGGGAGGCAATTGCTGTCTATAGCTCCCCAGAGTTTGCCTGTATTCCAGGGGAGAGGAAGGACAGGCTGGGGGCAGCCGGTTTGAATTAAACACGGCCAGCCCCACTTGTGTTCTAGGATCTCTGATGTGGGAAGAAGGTCAGGCCAGAGCCCTGTGTGCTCCCAGAGACAAAATGGGAACCAGGAATATGCTGCCCCCACACAGCTCGTAGTCCCTGCCAGGCGAGAGAGCCAAACCAAAGTTTCCCGCATGGCTTACTGCAGAGCACTAAGCATCGGGAGGCTCCAGGGATTGACACAAGGCACTAGACATCAAACCCAGGTCTCCTGCATGGCACTGCAGAGCATCATGTATCAGGCTGGCCTGGAAAGGGAGAGACTGGAGCTAGGGACTGAACCCCAGTCTCTTGTATAGCAAGGCAGGGCTCTCGTCTCTTCACCATCACTAAGCACTAGGCAGGCCAGGGGGTAAGGGATTGGCGCTGCGAATGGAATCCAAGTCTTCTGTGTAGCAGGACAGGGAACTAGCTCTAGGCTGGCACAGGAAGCACAGGACTGAGGCTGGGAGTCATTTACTCACAGAAAGCTCCCCAGCCCAGAGGCAAAAGAACGGGAGAATCTGTTCCTGACTGACGTTCTAGCCCCGAAGTCCCCTCTCTTACACATCACCAGGGTCCCTGCTGTGGAAGCAAAGACAGCCCACCTCTCCTCTGCCCCAGAGACAGCAAAGGCATGCCCTGCGGAACTTTGCCACCCCTTAGGAAACTCCAAATACCTCCAGCACACACCACCTTGCACTGTGAGGAGTTATCATCCTACTGCTCAGAGAAAGGCACCCACATCTAGGAGGGGCTCTCAGGACAGCAGGAGCAGCAGCAGAAAAACAAAAACAGAACAATGCTCTCCTCCTTCCACAAATTTGCCCCATTTATGCTGGAAGTACTGATGGAA